ATATATAATTGCCAAGTTAATATTAACAGTCCACTCTAGCCATGTGGGTTCCAGACTGATAAAAACAGCATAAGACGTACAAACTATGTCCCAAACGTGCACAGCTGCATGTCTGCACAATCTCACATGCATCATGAAGTCTGCACTCTGCACACATAGCAGGGTCTTCTTCGCTCCCTGTTCCAAGTACACACCAGAAGAGCCTGTGGGACCCCCAATGTTCAGCTCACATCCCACTTGGCTTTCTGCGTGCAGAAACGCCAGGTCTTCCAAAAAAAGGAAAAGCATGGCCCACATTCCAACAAATAAATGCGCCAGATTTAATTTCTCAGTGGCCAGGAAGTGCCTTAGCTAGCTTGTCAGAAAGCATCCCCAAAATTCCAATACTGTGGCTACTGACTGATGGCCCAACATCCTTGTGATATTTGTTTTATGAAACTTCCAGGGTTGGTCACTCTCTTGGTGTGCCTAACCTACCTCACTGGGTTGTGAGGATAAAATAGAGGTACCCTACCAGAGGCCAGGGATGGAATGCAACCATGAGAAATACATAAACACAGGGCTATTTTGGGGGAGGAACACGCAGGAACAGAGTTCCGGTTGGCTTCAGAGTTGGCCACGTCCACTAGAAGAAGAAGAAGAAGAAGAGGAGATTGGATTTATACCCCGCCCTTCACTACCCAAAGGTGTCTCAGAGCGGCCTACAAACTCCTTTCCCTTCCCCTCCCCACAACAGACACCCCGTGAGGTGGGTGGGGCTGAGAGAACTCTTGACAGAAACTGCTCTTTTTCAAGAACAGCTGTGCCAGAGTTATGGCTTGCCCAAGGTCATCCAGCCAGGTGCAAGTGGAGGAGTGGGGAATCAAACCCGGTTCTCCCAGATTAGAGTCCGCGCACTTAACCACTACACCAAACCACTACACCAAACAGTTGCTGATAGATCCAGACTCCATAAACAATAGTGAAAGATAAGGAGAAATGGGATGCGAGCACATAGACATTGGAAGAAAGAAAAACAGTAACATAATTAAAATGGGTCATGTAATAGGTTGGGGTCAGTAGTGAGTCCTATGTCCAGGGCTATTTTTGGGCAAGAATGTACAGGAATGGACTTCCGGCTGGCTTCAGAGTTGGCCACACCCACTATAGCCAAAACGTCTGTGTGCATGGCTACATAGGGAAGACCTGGAGAGCAACACCAAGGCGGATGGGCCGGGGGGGGGGGCTGGAAGGATCGGAGAGGCATTTAAATGCCTCCTCGTGCCTTCCCCGGCCTGTCCAAGGGCCCGCTAGCCCGGGCTCCCTGCAGCCACGGGGCGCCCAGGCAAGCCAAAGGAAGACGGTTTAAGCTGTCTTCCCTTCCCTCCAAGGGCTGGCTTGCCAAGGGAAGGCATGGGGTGTGGTCTAATATGCTAATGAGATGTGCAGTCTGGGGTGTGTGGCCTATTATGCTAATGAGTTCCTGCTGGGCTTTTTCTACTAAAAAAAAGCCCTGCATAAACACATGGTTAAGATTCTGCACTTGCCCAACAGTCTCTCAGATGCAACTACCGTGTTTCCCCGAAAATAAGACAAGTGTCCTATATTAATTTTTGCTCCCAAAGATGCACTAGGTCTTATTTTCAGGGGATGTCTTATTTTTCCATGAAGAAGAATACGGTACACTCCGTCAGGGCAGAGTGAGCAGCAGGCGGCAGCTTGTCCTGGCAGCGGCGCGGGCTCTCTGATTAAAAGAGACCGCACACTTCCTGTCTGCTCCAGCTGCGCTGCAGCCAACAGTGAGCTGCGCGGCGGCGCCCGCCACTACAGCCCAGACTCCAGAGTTACGGTAGCTTCGGGGGGCCTTATTATCGGGGAGGCCTTATGTTCGGGGGATGCCTTATATTTCAGCGAGAGGCAAAACTGTAAGTAGGTCTTATTTTCGGGGGATGTCTTAATTTCGGGGAAACAGGGTAGCAGACCTGGGAATCCACAGTACACCTACCATTTATGACGCTGAAGGTGACTTGGAAATACAACCCCACTTCTCTGTTGCTGTTCTCCGTCGTGAGCACCACGTTCACGGATTTCCTTTCCTCCACCGTCACTGTCCCCGCAGTGATGTTTTTGGCCGCCGGGTCGGACACCATCACGGTGATGGCCTTCTCCGGATCCAGGCTCCCGACGGGTATTTCGGTGCCGTTGTTGTTCTGGAACTCCATGGACGCCACCTCGGACGAGACGGTGTAGTTCGGGATATAGCCGAAAGGGAAAGGGTTGTAGTCCACCCGGATCATGACCTGGACCACGTCGGTCAGGTCGGAGAAGGTGGTGTTGAAAGCCGGAGGGATGGAGAACCTGCAGCTGGGGCTGTCCTCGTAGCAGAGCAGACCGAAGGGGTCGGAGCGCTTGCCCTTGGCCGTGATGTCACTGCCCACCAGCTCCAGCGGCTCCTCATTGAGAACCCGAGACTTCATCAGGATGCGCATCAGGTCCGTGGAGAGGGCGTATGCCTTGGAAGCCACCTGCACGGGGCTTGGACCGCTGTTCAGTCCCGGCGACTTAGACGGCTGCGGAACTGTGTTGACCAGGTGGATCAAGTCCCCTACAGAGAAAGCGGGAGAGACAGATTGTCCTGCCGCCACTGGGCAAGTGGTTAAGTCCCCCCCAAGATCTGCCATGCAGAGAGGAGAACCCACACAATGGGGGGGGGGTACATATGGTTGCCACATGGCTAAGTAAATGAGCCCTTCCACGCCTTTCTCCCCAGTGTACACATCGTTACAGACCCAGGTTCCTCTCAGTTTATATCAGCACAGCATGGGCTTGAGAAGAAGAGGAGGAGGAGGAGGAACTTGGATTTATATTCTGCCCTTCCAGAAGGAGTCTCAGAGCAGTTTACAATCCCTTCCCCTCCCCGCAACAGACACCTTGTGATCTAGGTGGGGCTGAGAGAGCTCCGAGGACTGCCCTTGAGAGAACAGCTCCGAGAGAATTTATGACTGGCCCAAGGTCACACCAGCAGATGCATGTGGAGGAGGAGTGGGGAATCAAACCCGCTTCTCCAGATTACTCAGTGGCAGTGGATTTATACCCCGCCCTCCCCTACCCGAAGGAGTCTCAGAGCGGCTTACAATCTGTCCCTTCCCCTCCCCACAACAGACACCCTGTGAGGTAGGTGGTGCTGAGAGAGCTCTCTCGAGAACTGCTCTTCAGAGAACAGCCCTGACAGAACTCATGACTGACCCAAGGTCACCCCAGCAGCTGCATGTGAGGGAGGACTGACCCATGATGCTGAGAATGTTGTCCGCAATGGAGGTCGGAGTCATGGTCCCTTGGAGGGTCTCCCCCTGGAGGATTGTCAGCATGCTCTCCAGCTTCTTCAGGGTCTCCGTCAAACATGCGCGGCACACAAACTCTTTGCTGGCCACCTGGGAATCCAAAATTTGAGATCAGCCTTTCCAGTTAAGTTCTTCAACAGCCCAACAAAACCCTTTCGGGGAGGGGGGCCAGCTGGAATATCTTAGCCTGCCGTTTCTTCAATACCACCAAGGATTTGCTTCCAGAAGCTCACAATAATAGGATGTGTCCAAAATATGGGAACAAGATCTGTATTGGGGGGAGGGGTTGACACACACCCCAGTATCTCTACTGAAAATCAGTTCTGTGCTTCAGTTTTAAAGGCACCATATAACTGGTGTCCTTGATCAGGTCCCGTGGAGAAAAATGGACTCTACGACACTATGCTCGACCGAGGTCCTTTCCCTCCACAGACTCAAAAAAAACCCCAAATCTCCAGGAATTCCCCGACCCGAAGCTGGCAGCCCTAGATATCGGTTTCTCATTTTTATGTACTATTCAGTTTCATGTACTCTTCAGTTCATAATATTGGATCTGCTATGTTCATATCCTGCCCTTCTCCTGAAGCACCTTGCAAATCCAATAAAAAGTTAAAGCATTTTAAATACGATTCAACCAATATGCAATCACAAATATTAATAGCGAGCAAAAACGATCAAGTTCCAGTTCCACCGTAAAGTCGATGCAAACGGCAGTAAAACGAGCCCAGGGAAACCGGGAATGCAGTGAGAAAGCACGAGAAGGCAATGAACGTTAAAGAACAAAACCCTGTAAAATCCCAGAATGTTATAAAATGGCAGAGTGCACGTTCAAGTGCTCAGCACTGAAGAGAGAAAAGAAAAATAACGGGTCGAACTTTGCCCCGCCTCTCCCCTCAACTGTCTGCCATAAGCAGAATTCCCAGGTTGAGAATATCCTTCTCCAAAGATCTTACTTTTTTTTTTACACATTCACACTCCAAAATCCCTTCCGGATTATTTAAAGGAGTACTTGGTGGTGGGGAGCGCCATCAAGTCACAGGTGAGTTATGGCAACCCCATAAGGTTTTGAAGACGAGATATTCAGAGGCGGTTTGCCATTGCCTGTCTCTGCATACCATCCCCGGGCCTCCTTGTTAAGTTCTGCCATCTATCCAAGGCTGACCCTGCTTCACTTCCGAGTTCTGACGAGAGTGGGCTGGGGCCAATGGTCCCTCTAAACTATGGAGTCCTGTGAGCAAAAATTCTACTTTGTGAGCTACTGACATTAAAATTGTGAGCCCTCCTTCCTGAGATAAGACAAAAATGTGCGAGCCGGAGGCTAAAAAACTGTGAGCTAGCTCACACTAACTCAGCTTAGAGGGAACACTGGCTGGGGCTAGGCTATCCAGGACAGGGCAAAGGAGTACTCGAGGAAGAGAAGGACAAAATCCTTAGCTACGAGAAGTGGACCTGGTAGGTGACAGTCTTTTGCTTGAACCCACAACTTAACCATTACTTGTCACAGATAACAAATTAAACCTTGCAGTTTTGGCTCTTGTCTTGAAAGGTCGTACGACTTTTATAAAACAGACAGCCTAAGGGTCCCATGGGTCTGTTCCACCCACAATTATGCTTTCCTTCAGCCTCAGGAATATGTTCCATAAGAACATCTGAAGAGCCCTGCTGGATCAGACCAGTGGTCCGTCCAGTCCAGCATCCTGCCTCACAAGGTGGCCAGCCAGTTCTTCTGGAGGGCCAACAACAGTGCACAGAGGTCAAGGCCTTCCCCCAGTAAGAACTTAAGAAGAGCCCTCTGGGATCAGACCAGTGAGGGTCTATCTAGTCCAGCCTCCCGTCTCACACAGGGGCCAGCCAGTTCCTCTGGAGGGCCAATAACAGGGCAGAGTGGCCGAGGCCTTGCCCTGGGAAGAACATCAGAAGAGCCCTGCTGGATCAGACCAATGCGGGTCCAGCATCCTATTTTATTTATTTATTTTATTTATTTGTTAGATTTTTATCATGCTCTCCCGGCGTAGGCCGACTCAGGGCGGCTTACAGACAAACTAAAATTCCAACAGTACAATAGCATAAAATCACGTCAGTTAATATAAAGAACAATGTTAAAACCAAGACATAATAAACAACAGGGCATAGAGGCCGAGGCCTTCCCCTGAGAAGAACAACAGAAGAGCCCTGCTGGATCAGACCAGTGAGGGTCCATCCAGTCCAGCATCCCATCTCACACAGTGGCCAACCAGTTCCTCTGGAGGGCCAACAACAGGGCAACATGTTCATAAGAACATAAGAAGAGCCCAGCTGGATCAGACCAGTGAGGGTCCCTCTAATCCAGTATCCCGTCTCACAGAGTGGCCAGTCAGCTCCTCTAGAGGAACTCCAACCACAGGGGAAGAGAGGCCAAGGTCTTCCCCTGAGAAGAGCTACAGAAGAGCCCTGGTGGATCAGACCAGTGAGGGTCCATCCAGTCCAGCCTCCTGTCTCACGCAGTGGCCAGCCCATTCCAATGGAGGGCCAACAACAGGGCATAGTGGCCGAGGCCTTCCCCTGATAAAGGACATCAGAAGAGCCCTGCTGGATCATACCAGTGGTCCATCAAGTCCAGCATCCCATCTCACATAGTGGCCAACTAGTTCCTCTGGAGGGCCAACAACAGGGTATAGAGGCCAAGGCCTTCCCATGATGTTGCTTCCTGGAACTGGGACTTAGAGAATTAGTGCCTCTAAATGTGGAAGTTCCCCTCAGTCACCATGGCTACTAGTCATGATAGACTCATCGTCCATGAATCTATCAAATCCCCTTTTCAAGCTTTTTATTCTTATGGTCATCACTACATCCTCTGGCAGCAAATTCCACATTTTAATCACTCTCTACCGATGCAAAAGGCCTCTCTGACTGGCGGGAAAACCTCCTGGTGCCAGAAGATAAGGGTGCCACAAGATGTCAACATTCAGTGTTGCAGATAAGTCTGGTTATAGATCTGTGGCATCTATGTGACAGCAGCTGACAGCTCTAGGTGACTGGAGAGCTGGCTCTGACCGGTTCTGGCTGGTGCTTGCCAGAGCTAATTAACAATGACTAAGCATTGGCCCTGATTGGCCAATGGATGTATAAGTACAGTGAAGTACTATTTATGTATCCTTCTTCCGTATATTGGTTGTCTGCGGAGCATTACGTCACTCAGTGTAATTATTTGGTGGAGGCTTTGTAAAATAAACTGTAAATAACTTTTACACAAGCCTTGAAGACACCAGTCTTTATTGGATACCCTTGCACCCGTGCCCGGTCTGCAGTGGGCTAACACCGCGCAATATTAACAGGGTTATGGGCCCAGTCTGCGGTTAGCTGAGCAGCAGAGGACATGTGGTGTGAAAGGATTGAGTATCCAGAGCACTGAGGCTGTCTGCCATGGCTGAGAGGCTGAGGAGCTGTCTTCGGAGCTGAAGGAAGCAGCAGAGCCGGAGCGGAGACGGAGCTGGAAGCTGTCCAGGGTGCCGAGGGATGACCAGCTGCCGGGAGTAGACGACAACCATGGCCCAGGTATCCGTTGCACAGATGGTGGATAAGCTTACTTCAAGCAACTATGCTGTGTGGGCTCTTAAAATGAAGCACTATTTGTTCCACCCCTAAAATGGAAAGAAGTTCCCTCCAAAACTTAGAAACAAATTGGGTCCCCCTGTCAGAAATTAATTTAGCAGGTAATTGATGAATTTTCACCACGTGAGACATAAACGATTTCGCCAACCTCTGAGCTGTAGGCAAGGAAGGAAAAGGCACAAAATGAGCTTGCTTAGAAAATAAATCAACAACCACCCAAATAACAGTGTTCCCTTTGCTCGCAGGGAGGTCAGTAATAAAGTCCATGGACACCACTTCCCACGGTCTCGATGGGGTAGGGAGTGGCTGCAAAAGACCAGGAGGCTTTCCCACTCTGGGTTTAGTTAAGGCACAGGTTTGGCAGGATCGAACAAAAGTCAAGAGGTCTTTGCGCATCTGTGGCCACCAGAACTGTCTGCGGATGAGTTGCAGAGATTTAACAAAACTCCAATGCCCTGCCAGTTTCGAACCGTGAGCAGACTCCATCA